GGGTCAAACATATGATGTCCGAAGGAGACTAGACTTTGTGTGCGAAATTTTAGCCCAATACATTTAATTATAAAAGAGGTCAGGTGTGTGAAACGCTTAATATGACGCTGGCGCACAGTAGGCACACCACACTGGACAGGGCAGCGGTAGCTTTGGGGGCGGTTGATTTGGTATGTATTCGAACGGCAAGATATTCCAGAGACCGGGAGACCAGAAAAGTGACGCCAGCAAAAGGAGAAAAGGAGGAAAAAGAGGAAAGAGCTGAGCAGGCAACAGGGTCCGCCCTCCAGGCGGGGCGCCAGCGAGAGGCCCAGGCCGGGGCTGGGGCGCACGTGGCCTATTTCGGACGGAGCGGACGCGCTGGGCTGCAGCGGAGACTCCGACCGGCCGCGGGAGACAAGCCGGGAAGGTAGGTTACGGCCGGACGGCGAGGCCCTTCGGAGTCGGGGTTAAGCGGACTGGGGTCCTGGGAGTTGGGGACAACGGAAGGCGCTAGCTCCAGGGCTCTCCATACTCCTGGGGCAGTTCGGACCAGACGCCCGGATCCTCTGGCTCCCTCCCCCAAGGGGGCGGGGTTAGGTGTTCTGACCAATGACCGTCCGCCCCCGTGGCCCCGCCCCGCGCGCAGAGCCGCCGGAGCGCCCAAAGCCTGGGAGCCCTGTCCTGGGGTTGCGCAAATGCGGAACCGGCAGCTGGTGAGTGCGCACCCCCAGGGTCTCCGCCCCGAAACCGGCTCCAGCCGGTGCCCTATTGCTCCCGGCCGCGGAACCTGGCGCCGAGGAGTGACTCAGCGCGGGAGGGTGGGACTCCCTGGGACTGGAGATTAGAACTCTTTAGGGCCTCTAACGCTGGGATGAGTGGGGTGAAAGAGTGTCTTCGGAGCTGGTCCCGGGAAAGTGTTGGTGCCTAGGCCCGAGCTGGGGCGGGAGGGGAGAGCGCCAGACCCAGAAGCCAGGGTCGGGCTAGGAAAGCCGCGGCCGAACCGCCTGGCCTGGGCCACGGCCATGGTGCGGGGTGGGTCCTGAGCTTCTGACCCAGCTGCCCGCCCTAGGATACCAAGATGCCCGGCGAACAGCAGACCGAGGAGGAGGAGGAGAAGGAGATGCAGGAGGAGATGGTGCTGCTGGTGAAGGGTGAGGAGGAGGAGGGCGAGGCGAAGTATGAGGTGGTGAAACTCAAGATCCCCATGGACAACAAGGAGGTACGTGTCCCCCACCCCGAGGCCCTGTTGCCCCTAAGCTGGTCCCGGCCCAGCCTCGGTCACACAGAAGCCAGGGACCCTGCCCCTGCTTTCCCCTGAATCTCAAATCTAGAACCTGAGGGTTAGCAACGCATCCTCCTGCCCACTGCCCCTGGGGGCTCCAAGTAAATGCTCTCTTCGCTTCCCCAGGGAGCCTGATGTGTGCAGTGTTGGGCTGCTGAGTAGCCAGGCGGCTACAGTCCTAGGTGATGAGAGCAGGCACCAGGCTGGAGGCCCAGAGCTGGGAAATTAATGCAGACCTGGGGTGAGGGAGGGGCCAGATTAGGCAACAGTAACATTTACTATTCTCCAGACACTGTTTTAAGCACCTCAATTCTGTGACATAGGTTGTATTTGCTCCATGTCACAGATGAGGAAACTGAGGCTCAGGAAGCTTGACAGTTTGGTGACTGGCCCAAGGTCTCACAGTTAGTAAAGAGATGGCTTATCTGAGACCAGTGAGAGTGGGGGGTGAGGTGAGTGACTACTCCAGGCAGAAGACCTGGGCCTTTCAGTGGCCCAGAGGGAGTGAGTGGGGCACTGGGAGAAGTGAGGGCAGGTGGTTCAGTCATGCTGTGGCATGGATGAGCTTAGGGTATTTGGCAGGTTAGGTAGGGCATTTGGGATTTATTGTGAGGGTGATGAAGGTTTAAAGAGAGGAGTTTTAATATCAGAATATGAGTTAGATTTTCCCATTCAAGGCCCGAACTGCCACAATTCCCAGAAACCCACAGAACTCTCCCTTAGCCAGTGCAACCCTGCCTACAGCTGGGGAACTCTGGCTGGGCCAGGTCTCTGAGCCCAGGCTCTGATTTCTTCCTGCAAGGGAGCCAGTTCCCAGGGAAAGAACGTTGTGCTGCTCCCTTGTGGGTGTGGTGGGTGGGCCCTGGGGGCGGGGGCTAGCTGCTTTGGCCTCTTCTAGCAGTGGAAATAACTGTTTAGGTGTGTTTTTCTCAGGCCTCCTTGGCCCATCATCCTAGCTTAGTTGGCCTCTTCTGGGCCTGTGGGTCTCCTGATCTCCCCATTCCAACTGTAAGCTAAGAACTCAGACTCCAGGGCTTAGGGTGGACTTCCAACTCCATCATTTACCAGCTGTAAGATCTTGGGCAAGATGCTTAGCCACTTTGTGCCTCACTTTCTTCATTTGTAAAAGGAAAATCATACCAGCCTCTACTTCTTAGCATTGTGAGGATGAAGTGAGTTAATACATGTAAACAGTTAGAACTGTGTATGGTACATAATAAACACTACGTAAATATTTGCTGCTGTCATTATTCTTCTTTGTGAAGTTTAGGACCTTGGTCTAGGTCGTCCTTTGGGCAATCTTTCAACTCATTTTTATCAAAGGCCTTTTTGGATTGAATCCTGGGGCTGGGGGTGAAAGCAGAAGCCGACATGGAGGCCTAGACAGAGGGTGCATGGCAGACAACTCAAGGCAGTGGGGGAGGCTTCACAGAGAAAGCTTAGTGGGGATCTGGCAAATGGGGCAGAGGACGGACATTCCAGGAGGAGAAAACAGCAAAGCAGAGGCTCAGAGGAGATGGGCAGAGAGTTAAAGGTATGGAGGCCAAAACAGGAATTGAACACCCTGTGTGAGGTTATGTGGTGCCACCAGAAGCCTCAATCAGAAGAGGGACATTGGGTTTTCTCTTTAGAAGATTTTCTGACTGCTGTGGGAAGAACAGGCCATGTGGAGACAAGACAGGAAGGAGGGGATGTTTGGGAACCTTGATTGGACTGGCTGGAGCTAAGGATGGGATGGAGGAGGGTGGCATGGCTAGTCATGAGATGTAGGTAGGGTAGACGCTAAGAGGTCCATGTAGCAGAAAAAGCATTGGTTCAGATCCCAGCTCCACCATTTATCAGCTTTGCCCTGGCTTTCTCATCTGTAAAATGAGGTAATGGAAGGAAGAGTTTTGAAGGCCAGAGTAAGCGTTACCTGGGTGACTGATTTGGAGGAGGGTGGAGAGGAGGATTCCTCACACACATCCCATAAACATTTAGCACAGGGCTGTGCCCACAAGATAGATCATGAACTTGCTGTGTGTCTTCCCTGAGTCTCAGTTTCTGTGAAAATTGTGATCTCGAAGCTCTTTCCAGTGCTGACATCCTGTAACTCTCAGCTGTCACCCAGCCCCATGGCCAGTCATTGTCCGGGACAGGCCTGCGTTATGCTGCACGCGGGCGCTGAAGCATTCTCTCACTGCCTGTGAGAATCCAACCTCTTTAATGAAGACAACGATTTTCTCAGAACTCTGTGCTTCGGTCCTCTCTCTCTTGGCTTAAGCCTTTGAGTGGTTCCTGTTTCCCTCAGGATCAAGTCTCAGCTCCTAGGCCTGGCATGCAAAGCTCTATACCATCTGACCCCATGTCCTGGCTTCATCACCCAACACCCACCCTTGCCATGCCCCAGCTTCAAACAGACCTGACCCTTTCTCACCTCTAAGACTGCCCAGGTGGTGTTTCAGCCGGTAACACCCTCTTCACTTTTCCACCTGCTTTCCCCAGGAGTTGCTCTCCTCTCTTCTGGATGAAGTGTCTTAAATCTAACATGAGTACAGATCACCTGGGAATCTTGTTAAAGTGAAGGTTTTGATGTAGTAGGTCTGTGGTGGGACTTGAGATTCTAACAAGGCCCCAGTGATGCTGATATGACTGGTCTGTGGACCACACTTCCTGCAGCAAGGAGCTAGAGGATAGGGATGGTATTTTGCACATAGCACCAAAAAGAAGGGTGGTTCTGGCCCCAACTGGTGTGGCCCAGTTGGTCGTGAGTCTTCCCACACAACAAAAGGTTGCTGGTTTGATTCCTGGTAGGAACTTGCCAGGGCTTTGACCTCCAACTGTAGTCGTGGGCATACAGATGGAAGGCAATCAATGTTCTGCTGTAACATGTGTATTTCTCTCTCTCTTTCCCTCTCCCCTTCTCTCTCTCTAAAAGTCAATAAAAATATTTTTGAAGAAGAAGGTGGATTCTGCAAGGAGCCCAGGGGAGGGATGCACCCTGTGTAGGTGACCTCAAACTTGTCACTGAGATGGAATTGCAGGATGCCTAAGAGAACAGGTGTTTTGAGTGATGACAGACTTCCAGGTCAGACCCTGGTTCGGCCATTGATTAGCTGCAGGGCCTTGGGTAGTCAGTCAGTTTACTTCTGAGTCTTATTTCCTTATTTATAAAATGGAGCTAGAGATACCGAACCCAAAGGGTTGTGAGAATTTAACACGAGTACATGGGTGAAAAGCACTTAGCACAGTCCCTGGCACATAGAGAGCTCAATACATGGTAGTTATTGTTATTAATTAGAAAAGTAATGGCTGAGGAGGAACCTGGGAACTTCGCTCTGGTTAAGAAACATTTAAACAGGAAGACAAAATCACTAACTTCAAGTACTTGGGTTATCATATTACTGTACTACATTGTATCCCCATTGGACTCTCATGTTGTAGTGCACATACCATTTATTCTCATTTTAAATCTAATAGTTGTAGAATTTAAGACATATGAGGGCCTTTAAATGACCACCTAGCCTGGTATTTGGGGAGCTTCAAGTGCTTGTACATTGCTCACCTGCTGTGCTCATTTATTTAATGCTTTTTTCAGATGGATTCAATTGTTTTTGTTAAACCCATTTTCATCCAAAAAATAGTACTGATGAACCTGTGGGTTTCATGTACTCCATTGTTTTTCTAATATCCATGAAAATAAATACACAATGATTAAATGAGATAAAAGTGTGACTACAGAGGACTTAGAATCCTCTCACATCCTGTGATGTGAGCATACCTCAAGCTGGGAAATTTTTATCTCATCTAGCCTACCTCACCTTCCTTGGTTCAGTGAGGCCTGGGAAGGGAGTAACTTGCCCGGGGTCTTAATGGGCTAGCCTCAGCCCTTACCAAGATTTTTCCTGGAGCCTCAGGGACCAAGAGTCCCTGAGGGAAGAATTTCTTAAGTCAGTGAGCCCAGCAGAAGGAAGTCCTCAGATGGTCAAAGTCATCTTAAAGAGGGTGCCAAAGAAAAAGGAGCCAGGAAAAACGTAGGTATAATAAAAAAAGTTCTCTCCACAATGGCTGGCATACCCAATAGATTTCAAACCCAGAGCAATACTGGAAAGTGTGACCTTGAATTCTGACTGTTCCAAATGCATTCTGGGAAGTTTCTTGATTTAAGGTATCAAGTTGTATTTTAACTTTGAATCCCTCTTGGAAAGTTCTGGGGACTTGGAGTCCAGCCTCTGTGACATCTTGGCTATGCAAGGGCAGGGAAGCACAGAGTAGCCTACCAGTTAAGTAAGGGTCCTGAATCCCACTGGATTCGGGAATTTAATCTAACTGAGCCCTTTTTCTTAATTATCAATGCATAAGACCTGACTCAAGGGGGTGACAGGAAAATTTAATACAATAATGTACATAAACTAGCATTGTTGAAATTTTACAGTGTTATTATATATGCAGTTTAAACCAGATTTCTGATCTTCAAGGCCCTGAAGTTGTCCTTGCAACATAAGAAAGTAAAGTCCTTAAGTGCTCACAAGCTGTCACTCTCTCTTAACCTGTTTCCTTATCTATAAAATAGGACTGTGATAACTACTGTTTGGAGCTCAGATATGGGGAGAAGCTAACATTGTCTTGTCCTTAATATGTGCCAGGTATTTCGCTTGGTCATTAATGTACCTAATTGCTTGGCCCCCAGTAGATACTCAACATCACTTTTCCCTGGATGAGCCTTCTCTTTTCTCAGACGGGAGCACTATGTCCTCAATATTCCTCTTCCTTCTACTATTAATTCAAAATGTTAACACAATACAGTGTTAATAAAACATGCTCCCTTCACCTGCCTTTTACAAAACATTTCTTTTTCTGGTTTTATCTTAAAAGCCCAGGCTTCATGAAACTGGCTCATTTTCAATTCAGGCCTCAAAACTGTATTTGGGTTTTACCCCTGCCTTCTTCACAGCGTAAAAAATGTTATGTGCTGGCTCTTAAACGTTTATTAAAAAGCGGGGATTTGGCCCTAGCTGGTTTGGCTCAGTGTTTAGAGCGCTAACCCATGGAGTGAAGGGTCTTGGTTTGCATTCCGGTCAAGGGCAAGTACCTCCTTCGCTATCTCATTCCCAGGCCCTGGTCAGGGCACGTTTGGGAGGGAACCAATCGATATGTCTCTCTCACATGGATGTTTCTATCTCTCTCTCTCCATTCCTCTCTCTCTTAAAAGCAATGGAAAAAATACCCTCACGTGAGAATTGAGAAAAAACAAACAAATGTGGATTTGTTTTTGGTCTGTCTTTTAAGATACTATCTTGCTGCCCTGGTTCTCTCTGCCCATTCCCTGGGTAGTCTCATTTGGTCTCAAGGCTTTAAAAACCATCTGTAGGCTGATGGCTTGCTAATTAGCATTTCTAGCTAGGCCTATCTCCTGAGCTCCAGATGTGTCAAGAAGTAGAGATGTGAATTGGAACAGATCTCACCTTTTAACTTGCTCTGCCACCATCCTCATGTCTGCAGACGGCAACTCCACTTTTGTAGTTCTAAATTCAGAATCCTTGGTGTAATTTTGACTCTTTTCTTTATATCTCATATCAAATCTTATTTATAAAATTTGTTGTCTCAATTGGAAAAAATATATTCAGAAGCAGACCCCTTCTCACCACCTTCATTTTTCACCTGTCTCCTGGGTCTCAGCCACTGTGTTCTCTTGCCTGATGACTGCAGTACAGCAGCCTCCTCTCTGGGCTCCTGCGTCTGCCCTCTAGCCTCCTACAACCCCAGCAACCTGATGGATGCTTTTAAAATGAGTCTGATCTGGTCATGTCCCTGCTCAATACAGTCTAACATCTCCTCTAATGGTTCCCTTGTCGTTCATATTACACTCCCTAAGCTACCAGATTCCCTCCAGGACCACCTTCTTTATTAAGGCGCCGCTCCCCCCTCCCCGATTTCTGCCCTAGGCATTTTTTCTTGCCATTTTTACTGGGTCTTACCTGGGAAAACTCCTGCTTCGGGGTCTTGCTGTGCGCTCTTTACCTTGCTTTCTAATGTCCTTTAGTTCTTTTGCTAATGTTACATCAGTGGTTTGTTAACATTATTTAAATATGCCACACTCCCCCCGCCCCCATACCAGCACTCCTTGTCCATTTTCTCCCAAAGCACGAATTTAGAAAACATGATATTGAATTCCCCAGTGCCTATAAGACCCTAGAATGCCCTTAACAAATATTTATTGAATTAATAAAAAATAGCTAATATGACACGGGGCGTTGTGCTACGTGCATTAATGCAGTATCTAATTTAATGCGCACAGCAGGGCTAGGAGGCAGGCACCCTTGCTGTCCTGTTTTCCACACAGGTAACTGAGAGGTTGCGGCCTGTGATGACCCAGGTCTCTTACTCTTGGGCGAATGGGTCAGGACTCATCTGTCCCCCCTCTCCACGCAGGTCCCGAGCCAGGCGCCAGCGCCATCTGCAGACCCGGCGCGCCCACATGCGTGCCCAGAATGCGGCCGTGCTTTTGCGCGCAGGTCCACGCTAGCCAAGCACACCCGCATGCACACAGGCGAGCGGCCCTACCAGTGCCCGGAGTGCGACAAGCGATTCACCGCCGCCTCGAACCTGCAGCAGCACAGGCGGTGCCACACTGGGGAGAAGCCATACGCGTGCTCGCAGTGCGGCCGCCGCTTCGCCCAGAGCTCCAACTACACACAGCACCTGCGCGTGCACACGGGCGAGAAGCCCTACACGTGCCCGGATTGCGGACGCGCCTTCAGCGCCAGTTCGTGCCTGGTGCGCCACCGGCGCACGCACACAGGGGAGCGGCCTTACATTTGTGCCCAATGCGGCACGAGCTTCGCCCAGAGCTCGGCTCTGGCCAAGCACCGGCAAAAACACACGGGCGAGAAGCCGCACCGCTGTGAGGTGTGTGGCCATTGCTTTCGCCACCGCTCCAACCTGGTGGATCATTTGCGCACGCACACGGGCGAGCGGCCCTACCCGTGTGGCGAGTGCGGCCAGCGCTTCCGCCTCAGCACAAACCTCATCCGCCACCGTCGCGCGCACATGCTGCGCCGTCTCTACATCTGTGTTGTCTGTGGCCGAGACTTCAAGCTACCCCCTGGCTCCAAGGCCACCACTGCCACTGAGCGCTGCCCAGAGTGCGAGGCTAGATGAGCACCCTTCTTGTCGCTGCAGCGTGCTAGTGTCTGGCTGAGGCTTGGTGAGTTAGGGTCCCAACCCCCAGGAGAATTAACCTAGACCATAATCCTGGCCACCCTGGTCTGGGGAAGGGTGACATGGCAGGACTGACTGCCCTGGACCTGGGAGACATGGCGAATCCCCTGCCAGGATTTCTGGAAACTGGCCTCTTCCCCCTCACNAGGATTTCTGGAAACTGTGGCCTCTTCCCCCTCACTACAATCCTCAGCCCGTGTTAGTGAATAAAGTATTATATCTTCACCCCTCCCGTGTCTGTGAATGAGGTGGCTGGGAGAGGAGCCAAGTTGAGGTTTTCCCAGGCCTAGGTGGCTTACGTGAATTGTCACTGAACCAAGTGGGGCTATAAGCCCAAAGGGGTTCCTGGAACTGGGTTTGTTTGTGTGGAGTCACCCCACACTTGGCCCTTGGTTATGTTCTCATAACCTCTGATCTGGAAGGGCCCATAAATATAGCACATTCGTGCTCAAACAGGCACTGCATTCTGCAGAGCTTTGGTGAGCAGCCACGGACATCCTGGAGCTCAGTGTGGTGAACAGACAATACTTTATTGCACTATGTGAAAGGCTCTATGTGCTTTATTATTATTAGCTCACTGTCATCCTCAGCATCCCAGAGTTAGGTAAATCATATCTCCATTTCAGCAGATGAGTAAATANTGAACATCCTGGAGCTCATTGTGGTGAACAGACAATACTTTATTGCACTATGTGAAAGGCTCTTTATTGCACTATGTGCTTTATTATTATTAGCTCACTGTCATCCTCAGCATCCCAGAGTTAGGTAAATCATATCTCCATTTCAGCAGATGAGTAAATAGGTTCTGACAGCCAGTGGATGGCAGAGCAGGGACAAGCATACAGGCATTGGCAGTACACTGTCATTTGCTGTGACGGGGAGTTGTTGGTTAGGTCTTTAATGCAATCTTGGAGTTTAGAGAGGCTTTTTTTGGAGGTGATAGGCTTAAGCTGGTCTTGAAGGCTGAGAGANTCATCCTCAGCATCCCAGAGTTAGGTAAATCATATCTCCATTTCAGCAGATGAGTAAATAGGTTCTGACAGCCAGTGGATGGCAGAGCAGGGACAAGAATACAGGCATTTGCAGTACACTGTCATTTGCTGTGACAGGGGGAGTTGTTGGTTAGGCCTTTAATGCAATCTTGGAGTTTACAGAGGCTTTTTTGGAGGTGATAGGTTTAAGCTGGTCTTGAAGGCTGAGAGAGAGATGGGGTTGTGGAATTAGGGAGAGCCCCTGAAAGTGCATGCCAGACTTGTTAGAGCTTGCAGCCGTCCCAAGGGGGGACGAGAAAGGGGGACAGAGCAAGGAGGTTGGCAGGAGATAGACCACTAGGGAACTTAGATGCCAGGTGAAAGGATCCAAGGCAGCAAAGAAGCCTTGAGGGATGAGGGGATGGGTGGAGTGGAGATATAAAGAAGCTAAATTCTGAGGATGAGGGAGGTGGGGCTGACCTCATTTTTTAGCTTGGATGACTGCTATGTTATTTTTGTTATTATTTACATTATTCATTATGTAAAAGTCAATTCCTATATACTAGATAGCATTACATTTTACTTGTTATACAAGGTTGTGGGGTCCCCCCCCGTTTTTATTGATTTTAGGGAGATAGTGAGAAACATTAATCTGTTACTTCCTGTATGTGTTGCAACCTGGAATTGAACCTGCAACCTGGGTATGTGCCCTGACCAGGAATCAAACCTGGGATCTTTACGTGTATGGTAGGATGCTCCAACCGAGTCACACCAGCAAGGGCACAAGCCTGTTCTCAATTATGCCAAATGCTTTCCTACCTTAATGCCTCTTTATTTCTCTTTAGAACACTCTTCCTCCAGAGTTTCAAATGGCTAATGTTTTCATTCAAGGCATCTCAAATAATATTTCCACACAGATGCCTTCCCTGCCCACATTCAAGAAGCCCCCAACCATACCACTCCCTTTCACATCCTCCTGCTATATTTCCTCCTTGCACCTAATCAGGATCAGAAATTATCTTACTGTTTACATTTTTTACACCCTTAGAAGGACCATAGTAGTGAAGATTTTTGTCTGCTTCCTTCACTACTGCATCTCCAATACCTACAATGGTGCCAGGCACATAGTTGGGCTCAATGACTACTTGAGAGAAGGAACACAATCAAAGTGGCTTAGGGATCTTGAGTGTGACTATCCAGGCATTTGACACCTTTTCCCAGCCCTGGGGAAAAACAAAAATTTGACCACATTTAATCCCAACATCANCTTGACCACATTTAATCCCAACATCCAAATTATGCTCTGGGTTCTGCAGACTGAGGCACAGGTTTGAGTCCTGGCTCTGCTACCAGTTTCCTTGGGTAACTTCATTTCTGAGAGTTTGGTGCAACAGAAAGAACATGAGCTTTGGAATCTGCTACTTACCAGCTATGGGACTTAGAACAAAGCTTTTAGTTTCCTCATTTGTCAAAGGGAAATATTCTTGATTCCCACACAGAGCTGTAGTAAAAAGGCAAGGTAGGGATTTTAAGCATTTACTGAAATGTTACTCTTTCATCATTTGTGATTCTTAGTTGCCCCAATGGGAAATAGAGACTCTTTAAATGAAATATCCCAATTTTGGAAATAAAAAGCTGGAAAAGACTTTTTTAAAAAAAATGAATCTATAAGTGTTAAAACACCCTGAGGGTCAAACAAGGTATTTCTATGGACTAGATTTGTCCTGTGAGGTACCAAATTTCCACCTAGGCTACTGGGTTCTGGGGGATGCTATGAGAATCCTTACTGTATAATTTAGGTAAATCAGCTTACTTCCCAGAACTTCAGTTAGCCAGTAGGTAAAATGGACCCACCTCTGTGTAGATCAAAAGAGGTCAACAAACTCATAGATACAGACAACACAGGAGAAGAGGTGGGGGAGGAAGAGGGTAGAGAGCGTCAAACATATGATGTCCGAAGGAGACTGAACTTTGGGTGGCGATATTTTACCCCAATACATTTAATTTTTAAAAGAGATCAGGTGTGTGAAACGCTTAGCGGAACACTGGCCCGTAGTAGGCACACCACACGGCAGGGCAGCGGTAGCTTTTTGTGCCGGTTGACTTGGTGAGTACATACTCGAGGAGGATGTCCTAGAGACCCGGGGACCGGAAAACCAACAGCTGTAAAGAATTCGCCTCAGAGGAGAAGAGGAAAAGGGAAGAGCTGAAGAGACAACAGGGTCCGCCCTCCAGGCGGGGCGCCCGCGGGAGGCCCAGGACAAGGCTGGAGCGCACGTGGCCTACTCTGGGAGCCGTGGATGTGCGGGGCTGCAGCGGAGACCTCCGCGCCGGCCGCGGGAGACAAGCCGTGTAGGTAGGCTACAGCCGGACGGCGACGCCCCTAAATCCGGGGTTAAGCGGACTGGGGTCCTGGGAGTTGGGGACAGCGGAGGGCGCCAGCAAAGGACTCCTCTTCAGTCCTGGCGCAGTTTGGACCGGATGCTTGGGTCCTCTGGATCCCTCCCCTAGGGGGCGGGGTTAGGTGTTCTGACCAATGACCGTCCGCCTCCGAAGCCCCGCCCCGCCCCGGGAGCATCTCCAGTGCCCAAACCCTGGGAGCCGTGTCCTGGCTGAGCGAACGCGGAACCGGACGCTGGTGAGTGGACGCTCCCTATGGTCTTCCAGATCCGGTCTCCAGACGACGCCCTAGAGCTCCGGGCCGCCGACCCAAGCCGGCGCCGAGGGGTGACTCAGCGCGGGGGTTGGCGACTCTCTAGGACTGGAGATTTTAAATTGTTCAGGGCCTTGAAAACCCGCAGGACTTCACGTGAACCAGTGTCTTCGGAGCTGGTCCCGGGGAAGGGTTGGTGCCTAGGCCCGAGCTGGGGCGGGAGGGGAGAGCGCCAGACCCAGAAGCCAGGGTCGGGCTAGGAAAGCCGCGGCCGAACCGCCTGGCCTGGGCCACGGCCATGGTGCGGGGTGGGTCCTGAGCTTCTGACCCAGCTGCCCGCCCTAGGATACCAAGATGCCCGGCGAACAGCAGACCGAGGAGGAGGAGGAGGAGGAGATGCAGGAGGAGATGGTGCTGCTGGTGAAGGGTGAGGAGGAGGAGGGCGAGGCGAAGTATGAGGTGGTGAAACTCAAGATCCCCATGGACAACAAGGAGGTACGTGTCCCCCACCCCGAGGCCCTGTTGCCCCTAAGCTGGTCCCGGCCCAGCCTCGGTCACACAGAAGCCAGGGACCCTGCCCCTGCTTTCCCCTGAATCTCAAATCTAGAACCTGAGGGTTAGCAACGCATCCTCCTGCCCACTGCCCCTGGGGGCTCCAAGTAAATGCTCTCTTCGCTTCCCCAGGGAGCCTGATGTGTGCAGTGTTGGGCTGCTGAGTAGCCAGGCGGCTACAGTCCTAGGTGATGAGAGCAGGCACCCGGCTGGAGGCCCAGAGCTGGGAAATTAATGCAGACCTGGGGTGAGGGAGGGGCCAGATTAGGCAACAGTAACATTTACTATTCTCCAGACACTGTTTTAAGCACCTCAATTCTGTGACATAGGTTGTATTTGCTCCATGTCACAGATGAGGAAACTGAGGCTCAGGAAGCTTGACAGTTTGGTGACTGGCCCAAGGTCTCACAGTTAGTAAAGAGATGGCTTATCTGAGACCAGTGAGAGTGGGGGGTGAGGTGAGTGACTACTCCAGGCAGAAGACCTGGGCCTTTCAGTGGCCCAGAGGGAGTGAGTGGGGCACTGGGAGAAGTGAGGGCAGGTGGTTCAGTCATGCTGTGGCATGGATGAGCTTAGGGTATTTGGCAGGTTAGGTAGGGCATTTGGGATTTATTGTGAGGGTGATGAAGGTTTAAAGAGAGGAGTTTTAATATCAGAATATGAGTTAGATTTTCCCATTCAAGGCCCGAACTGCCACAATTCCCAGAAACCCACAGAACTCTCCCTTAGCCAGTGCAACCCTGCCTACAGCTGGGGAACTCTGGCTGGGCCAGGTCTCTGAGCCCAGGCTCTGATTTCTTCCTGCAAGGGAGCCAGTTCCCAGGGAAAGAACGTTGTGCTGCTCCCTTGTGGGTGTGGTGGGTGGGCCCTGGGAGCGGGGCCTAGCTGCTTTGGCTTCTTCTAGCAGTGGAAATAACTGTTTAGGTGTGTTTTTCTCAGGCCTCCTTGGCCCATCATCCTAGCTTAGTTGGCCTCTTCTGGGCCTGTGGATCTCCTGATCTCCCCATTCCACCTGTAAGTTAAGAACTCAGCCTGGCCAGGGTGGCTCAGCGGTTGAGCCTCAACCTTTGATCCAGGCAGTAGCAGTTAGATTCCAGATCAGGGGACATGCCCAGGTTGCCAGCTTGATCCCCAGTAGGAGGCAATCGGGAGGCAGCCAATCAATGACTCATCATTGATGTTTCTATCTCCCTTTCCTTTCTTCTCTAAAATCAATACACTTTTTTTTTTTCTAAAGTTGAGAGAAAAATAAATAAAGAACTCAGACTCCAGGGCTTAGGGTGGACTTCCAACTCCATCATTTACCAGCTGTAAGATCTTGGGCAAGATGCTTAACCACTTTGTGCCTCACTTTCTTCATTTGTAAAAGGAAAATCATACCAGCCTCTACTTCTTAGTGTTGTGAGGATGAAGTGAGTTAATACATGTAAAGAGTTAGAACTGTGTATGGTACATAATAAACACTATGTAAATATTTGCTGCTGTCATTATTCTTCTTTGTGAAGTTTAGGACCTTGGTCTAGGTCGCCCTTTGGGCAATCTTTCAACTCATTTTTATCAAAGGCCTTTTGGACTGAATCCTGGGGCTGGGGGTGAAAGCAGAAGCCGACATGGAGGCCTAGACAGAGGGTGCATGGCAGACAACTCAAGGCAGTGGGGGAGGCTTCACAGAGAAAGCTTAGTGGGGATCTGGCAAATGGGGCAGAGGACGGACATTCCAGGAGGAGGAAACAGCAAAGCAGAGGCTCAGAGGAGATGGGCAGAGAGTTAAGGGTATGGAAGCCAGAACAGGAATTAAACACCCTGTGTGAGGTTATGTGGTGCCACCAGAAGCCTCAATCAGAAGAGGGACATTGGGTTTTCTCTTTAGAAGATTTTCTGACTGCTGTGGGAAGAACAGGCCATGTGGAGACAAGACAGGAAGGAGGGGATGTTTGGGAACCTTGATTGGACTGGCTGGAGCTAAGGATGGGATGGAGGAGGGTGGCATGGCTAGTCATGAGATGTAGGTAGGGTAGACGCTAAGAGGTCCATGTAGCAGAAAAAGCATTGGTTCAGATCCCAGCTCCACCATTTATCAGCTTTGCCCTGGCTTTCTCATCTGTAAAATGAGGTAATGGAAGGAAGAGTTTTGAAGGCCACAGTAAGCGTTACCTGGGTGACTGATTTGGAGGAGGGTGGAGAGGAGGATTCCTCACACACATCCCATAAACATTTAGCACAGGGCTGTGCCCACAAGATAGATCATGAACTTGCTGTGTGTCTTCCCTGAGTCTCAGTTTCTGTGAAAATTGTGATCTCGAAGCTCTTTCCAGTGCTGACATCCTGTAACTCTCAGCTGTCACCCAGCCCCATGGCCAGTCATTGTCCGGGACAGGCCTGCGTTATGCTGCACGCGGGCGCTGAAGCATTCTCTCACTGCCTGTGAGAATCCAACCTCTTTAATGAAGACAACGATTTTCTCAGAACTCTGTGCTTCGGTCCTCTCTCTCTTGGCTTAAGCCTTTGAGTGGTTCCTGTTTCCCTCAGGATCAAGTCTCAGCTCCTAGGCCTGGCATGCAAAGCTCTATACCATCTGACCCCATGTCCTGGCTTCATCACCCAACACCCACCCTTGCCATGCCCCAGCTTCAAACAGACCTGACCCTTTCTCACCTCTAAGACTGCCCAGGTGGTGTTTCAGCCGGTAACACCCTCTTCACTTTTCCACCTGCTTTCCCCAGGAGTTGCTCTCCTCTCTTCTGGATGAAGTGTCTTAAATCTAACATGAGTACAGATCACCTGGGAATCTTGTTAAAGTGAAGGTTTTGATGTAGTAGGTCTGTGGTGGGACTTGAGATTCTAACAAGGCCCCAGTGATGCTGATATGACTGGTCTGTGGACCACACTTCCTGCAGCAAGGAGCTAGAGGATAGGGATGGTATTTTGCACATAGCACCAAAAAGAAGGGTGGTTCTGGCCCCAACTGGTGTGGCCCAGTTGGTCGTGAGTCTTCCCACACAACAAAAGGTTGCTGGTTTGATTCCTGGTAGGAACTTGCCAGGGCTTTGACCTCCAACTGTAGTCGTGGGCATACAGATGGAAGGCAATCAATGTTCTGCTGTAACATGTGTATTTCTCTCTCNGTAGTCGTGGGCATACAGGTGGAAGGCAATCAATGTTCTGCTGTAACATGTGTATTTCTCTCTCTCTTTCCCTCTCCCCTTCTCTCTCTCTAAAAGTCAATAAAAATATTTTTGAAGAAGAAGGTGGATTCTGCAAGGAGCCCAGGGGAGGGATGCACCCTGTGTAGGTGACCTCAAACTTGTCACTGAGATGGAATTGCAGGATGCCTAAGAGAACAGGTGTTTTGAGTGATGACAGACTTCCAGGTCAGACCCTGGTTCGGCCATTGATTAGCTGCAGGGCCTTGGGTAGTCAGTCAGTTTACTTCTGAGTCTTATTTCCTTATTTATAAAATGGAGCTAGAGATACCGAACCCAAAGGGTTGTGAGAATTTAACACGAGTACATGGGTGAAAAGCACTTAGCACAGTCCCTGGCACATAGAGAGCTCAATACATGGTAGTTATTGTTATTAATTAGAAAAGTAATGGCTGAGGAGGAACCTGGGAACTTCGCTCTGGTTAAGAAACATTTAAACAGGAAGACAAAATCACTAACTTCAAGTACTTGGGTTATCATATTACTGTACTACANGGGCATACAGATGGAAGGCAATCAATGTTCTGCTGTAACATGTGTATTTCTCTCTCTCTTTCCCTCTCCCCTTCTCTCTCTCTAAAAGTCAATAAAAATATTTTTGAAGAAGAAGGTGGATTCTGCAAGGAGCCCAGGGGAGGGATGCACCCTGTGTAGGTGACCTCAAACTTGTCACTGAGATGGAATTGCAGGATGCCTAAGAGAACAGGTGTTTTGAGTGATGACAGACTTCCAGGTCAGACCCTGGTTCGGCCATTGATTAGCTGCAGGGCCTTGGGTAGTCAGTCAGTTTACTTCTGAGTCTTATTTCCTTATTTATAAAATGGAGCTAGAGATACCGAACCCAAAGGGTTGTGAGAATTTAACACGAGTACATGGGTGAAAAGCACTTAGCACAGTCCCTGGCACATAGAGAGCTCAATATGTGGTAGTTATTGTTATTAATTAGAAAAGTAATGGCTGAGGAGGAACCTGGGAACTTCGCTCTGGTTAAGAAACATTTAAACAGGAAGACAAAATCACTAACTTCAAGTACTTGGGTTATCATATTACTGTACTACACTGTATCCCCATTGGACCCTCATGTGCAAATACCATTTATTCTCATTTTTAAATCTAATAGTAGAATTTAAGACATGTGAGGGCTTTCATGACTGCCTTGTCTGTTATTTGGGGAGCTTCAAATACATGTATATTGCTCACCTGTTGTACTCATTTATTTAATGCTTTTTTCAGATAGATTCACATTGTTTTTTGTTAAACCCATTTTCATCCAAAAAATAATACTGATGAACCTGTGGGTTTTATGTACTGCATTGTTTTTCTAATATCCATGAAAATAAATACATAATGATTATAATGAGATAAAAGTGTGCCTACAGAAGACTTAAAGTCCTCTTGCATCCGGTGATGTGAACATACCTCAAGTTAGGAAATTTTTATCTCATCTAGCCTACCTCACCTTCCTTGGTTCAGTGAGGCCTGGGACGGGAGTGACTTGTCAGGGGTCTTAATGGGCTAGCCTCAGCCCTTACCAAGATTTTTCCTGGGACACCCAAGGCACCTCCTGGAGCTTCAGGTATGAAGAGTACCTGAGGGAAGAATTTCTTTTTTTTTTTTTTAATATATCTTTATTGATTTCAGAGAGAGGAAAGGAGAGGGAGAGAGAGAGAAACATCAATGATGAGAGAGTCATTGATCAAGCCCACAACCCGGGCATGTGCCCTGACCAGGAACCGAACC